TTCTTCTAAAGAGACAAATCTGGAAAACTCTCTTTCTGACAATTCATTCTGTTTTGGCATGTGACATAAAATTAGAGGTAAGACTTGAAAACTAAAGTTTTTAGATGTTCTCCATGCATCCTGACTGAATTGGAGAGGTTTCAGAAAACCTGCAGGTACAAAATTGACAGAAGCACACCACACTTTTCACATTTTAATTGTATTTAATTGTATGAACTTTGTATGAATAATTTTCCCACATTTCACCGTTGCACAGTCTGAGTCAGTTTGACCTAAATTATACATGATTAAAGTGAAGTTTGTTGCGTAACGTGACCCAACGTCAGAAAGTTTAAGGGGTGTGAAAACTTTTGTGGATCAGTGTAAAACCCAACAGATTTTAAAGGCATTCTAGTCTAAACAGAGCTTCAATTTAATCTGAATCTGGTTGGAAAATGGTTCATTTTGCTGAATGAAAACATATGCTAATATTAAGGCGCACGCACACACACACGCACACACACACAGAGGATTCTTAGAGGCGGTTAAATAATGCCATATGTTTCCCCAACAAGGATATTTTTCTCCTGCTGCTTCTCATGTGCTTGATTGATGGCGTAATTTACTAAAATATCACACACACACACACACACACACACACACACACGTAGACACACCAGGAACACACAAAGCAAACAGTAACACACACACACCCCAACCAGTTGATGGTGCTGTTTCAGGATTATTTTGCCCAGGTAGCTTAAGGCTAAGCTAATGAAACTGTATCACTATTTCCAGTTTATTGGAAGGAAAAACTCTCGCTTCATTTCAAACCTCCTGTCTTCTTTTTCTTCTCCTCTTCCCTAACGCTGGAAGCCCTTAGAAAGGCCCGGCAGGGCTCTGTGGAGTATTTTCTGTTTGGTTGTGTACTGAACACATCACACATAATGAGTGAGCCGCCATGTGTTCCTGTGATTTAGGGTTCAGTAACAATAACTCATTAACCTCTAACCTCTGTGATTAAACGGCTGATTGAGCAGCAGACCATCTGCACAGCTGACCCCGAGAGAGCAGCAGCAAAGCCCTGAGCTATTCACCACCAAATCCACTTATCTGCAGCAAACCGCTCCGAACCATCATTCACCTCAACTGGGTGGAATTATGCTAATAATGTAGCATTAATTCCTGCTGGATTAAAGGTTTTAATCCAGCAGGAAACTGAGATTCCAGGAAGTCCTGGTCATGGCAGCATGAAACAGTTTAACATCGGGATAACGTCTGAAACAACACAATTACACGTCCAACTGCAATCCAACACCAACGCTTTAACAATACATAATTCAATAAAAAAACAAAACAGGTAATTTTAAGAAAACTGTTCAAATTGGAGCTGAAACCACAAATCAGTTTAATCACGATTAATCGTGACTAATCTGTAATAAAATCTTGAAACTAAGGTCAATAAGGCCTGTCATGATAAATTTTGCCTGATGATAAATTAACTCAGAAGTTATTCCGATAAATGATAACATTGTAGTTTTGAGTCATTTTTTGAAGACAATTTTGTTCACAGAGACTTCGTAATTCAACTTATTTGTGGTTTATTTATTTTGGATATTTAAAATGTCTTCCAGTTCCAGAGTTAAATACAATTAATATAATTAATCTCTAAAAGAATTTGAACAAATAAAATCTAAAAGAAACAGTGAGAAAAAATCTGTAAAAATTGAAATAATAAAAATCTCCTAAAACAATGTGAAAAAATAAAATGTGAAAAAAGAAAAAAATTACAATTTGTAAAAGAATAAAAAAAATAAAATCTAAAAAAGTGAAAATAGATCTCAATAAATTCAAATAATAAAAATCTGAAAAGAAAATGAAATTGTAAAAGAATTTAAAAAATAAAATGTGAAAACATTTAGTCTGAATAATAAAATCCATCAAAAAAGGTAAAACTAAAATCTGACATTTAAAAAAAAGGATGGATTGAATAAAACAAAAAAAAATCAATAAATAGCAGACTACATAAATGTAGGTTCAACTATTGGATACACATCACAAATTACTCTCAAAACATTTTTTAAATCATTTTATTCAAATTTCAGTGTTTGAAACATGTTCTTTGTTTGGCCCAGTACTAAAACAAATTTCTTCCCAGAAAAGATAAAATGAATTTTTTTTGGTCAGGTTCAAAACGGCATCGTTTGTCTGCTGAATAAACACAAGAGAACAAAACGACAGGAAACATAAAATACTTAAATAATGTTCATGTTGAAACAGCAGCATGGCTGAATGTGTGTGAGCTTTTTCTAACAGTGGACACTTTAATTCAGGCCAAAAGATGTAATGATGCCAAACATGGAGGCTCATAGAAACTGCAGCCAATAAGCCATCAACGCACCCAATTATCATAAAGTAATATGTTTTTTTATCATTAACTTCAAAATACCCAAAATAATTCAGTTATTACGCATAAATCAGCCTGCTTCATGTTGAGTTAATTCAAAGTGAAAACTAATTAATTCTACATTTGTGGGTTAAACTGTAGGAAAATCTGTGGGACAATGAAAAAACATGCAGTGAGGTTAACCTCTTCCTTTTCCTCCCCAACAAGAAAAGGTCAGAGGTCATGATACAAATGACGGAGTGTAGGAAAGAGGGATGAAAGGAGAAACAGCAAAAGGATGTAGGTAAGGAGGCCGGACTGATTGGAGCCCAGATGTCTAATAAGGTCCATTTATAACCCAGAGACAGGTGAGTGGCTCACAAAAGATGTATTTCCTCTGCAATGTTTTAATGTTGAGTCTAATCTGTCCAAAACAAGTCGCCACAATAGTTTGTATGAATTACCTACATAGAAAGCCTGATTGTTTTCAGCTTTTTCTACTTCAACACTTTCTCTTCCTCCATTCAGCCTATCTTCTGTGCTGATCCACCATAACAAGGCATTCCTTCCTGCTGTGTTTTACTTCAAGCTATGGAGGCGACGCTAAAGCAGCAACAGAGACCGGCTCTGTTTCTGCAAGGTGCGGGTGTGTGTTTTCACTGATATGACAGTGATGCAGAAATAAGCTCAGAAATGTGTGTGTGCGCTTGGCGGGGGGGGCTGGGGGGTAAATTCCTCTCCGCCACTTTAAACCCGCCTCGCTCTGCCCTGACGGCCAATCAAAACAGGAGTAAATCACTGCAGGATGTAAAAGCGGTGCCAAAGAAAAGGAACAGTTTGTGAATTTAAATGTTTTCTGGGCGTTTTTGGGCTCGGAGATTGATAGGAAATATAATTTAGTCTTAATTTAGCAGCAAGAGATCAAATTAGTTAATTTAAAAAAAACTGACATTAAGCTTTTTTTAGATTTTCTGTCCAATGTAAGTTGGACTTTAGATTTTACTGTAAAATCCAACTGATAATTAGGTCAGAAAACATAAAATGGTTCTGGGATGAAAGCATGTTTATGTTTTACTCATGTTTATTTTAGTAATGGAGTATTCTATTGACTGTTCTATTAATTATTCTGATGATTATTGGTATCAGCTGCACCAAGCTTTGAGTATTTGATTTGTTGAAGGATGTTGGTGTTTCAGTCAGCAGTTTAGCCATAGCTAACCACTTTCATCTGTTAGCTTAAAGCCGAGAGTCAAGATCCACCCACTCAGGTGACAATACGTATAGAGGCCTGTAGTGGCCAAAATGCTTCAGACTCACTGATACACATTACTGAACTCGCCATGGTCAATTAGCCGCTACAGCTACATATTGAGTTCTACGCAATAAGCCAATTCTGAGAGATTCCACATTTTTCTATATTGGTTAAATTCTGCAATTATGTATTCTTTTGCATCGTAGAAATCACTACTTGAGTCTAAAAAGTAAACACACCTTCTGGGTTTTAGCACATAAATAAGTTCTGCATTCATTAGATTCAACAAATATTTAAATCTTACTTCTAATGTCAAAACTTTACATCACAGATTCTTCAATATGTTTATTAGAGCAGTGGAGCGATGACATCAAATATGAAAAACTGATAAAACTAAGTACACCCAAATCTCCAGCATTTCTGGGGAGTGTACTTTCTTTTATTTTAATGCCTGTAGATGGAAGCTGAACAAAATGAAGTTTTTATGTTTCACATTATAGAGCAGAGCTGCTGAGACAGGAAGGAGATTGTTTCTTTGGGACCTAAATTACCAGAGACCCGGTCTGCTGAGATGGAACCGATCCGTGAAACCCAAATCATTCCAGTCCCACTTTTTAACGTCAGAACCAGTTACCAAATCATAGCACATACGTTCTTGACTGATGCACTTCAATATTGTATTACATACATTACGACTTATAGGTAACTAAAAAACCCAAAATAATCGAGTCCTACCACAAATATAAGTTTAAGGTCTTGAATTACTTTATTAACTGTATTTATGCTTACCTTTAACTATTACCAACACAGGGCTGACAATAATCTTAACCAATGCTTAATGCACAACATGTCTCTAAACCTGACCATGAAAACAGGATCTGGCATATTAAGTCCCCATAAGGTCCATCATTCTTTATGTCCTCAACATGTAACATAAACAAGTATGCACACACAGTAAAAATGTCAGATGTGCATTGATTATTTTAAACAATGACACTTGAGAAAATGTGAATATATATACTGTCTTCAATTAAAATGTGATTAATTACGGGCCCTGAAATAAACTTTAATTTAATTTTAATCGAGTCCCAGCACTAGTAGTAATACGTCTGGACCAGCATGACCTGCTGTAAAGCAGCAGGTCATGCTAATCAAAACTATGAAACGCTGTTCTGACACCATAAATGGGTCCAAACACACAATCTGGTTTCCATTTCAACATCTTAAACGTCTCTGCCCAAATTATTCTAGTTTTTGATTGATGCTTAATGGAGTGAATGTGAGTCTGACTGGATTCGGAGACGCTGCAGTCCCAACATCAAAGCCGCGGTCCTGGTGGTACCGTGCAGCACCAGCGCACCAGGAGGCTCCCACGCATGCAACACGCTGCGCTCCACGCTGCGAGCTTATCTCTGATCCATCGCTCTTCCTGCAGTTTCAATCTGATCAAAGTTTCAATCCAGCAGTAATGGAAAGCACCTGCATTCATTCAGGTATTTAGACTACAACAACGAGGAGATGTGGATGAACGGATGAGCAAAAGACAGGAAAATGAAAGCATGAATGAACATTATATTATTCAGAAGTAGCATTCAGGACAGAATCACTGAAGATCAAATAACAAGGTCAAATGACGAAATGGAGGTGAAGATGAGGACTGAGGAGAAAATGGCTGAAAAGGTTCATTTCTGCTCAGGTGAATTAAACAAAACCAAACAGAATTTACTGGA